CAAGTGAAGCCCATCCTTTGACCAAACGTGTGCTAAACAGTTATGGTATCTCCTCTTCTGCCCTGGCCTAATCACATTTCCTATATCCTCCTATGATGAATGCCGCTTGAAGGAGCACACCAAACTACAGTAAAATTAAGCACTGTAAAAAAATTGTGAGAGGGAAAGCATGATAGGAGGATATAGAAAATGTGAATAGGCAAGGGCAGAAGGGGAGATACCATGACTGTTTAGCACACGTTTGGTCAAAGGATGGGCTTCACTTGTCTCGAATGGCGAGACTCACTGACGATGCCGACTACGATGCTAACGATTAGTCTGGGAATGTACCACGTCCACAATCCTACTCTGGAAATAATGATGCATACATTGGACTCCTCTAAGTCTTCCTGCCAATATGAACAAGTTGTGAAAACAAGATCAAGCAACTTGTGTACAACGTAAGGAGATCACGACCAAACAAAGGCCACACCATCTTGGTCTTCATACCTTCGATTAGCTATTTTATTTTTTATATTCTACATCAAGAATGTTCTTCAAAATATTCTCATTTAATCTGCCAAAATAAAATATTTTATAGCTTTGCGCTCGTTAAACTCGTTTGAAAAGATGATCAAAGGTATAAAGACCAAGATGGTGTGGCCTTTTGTGTGGTCGCAGCCTCTTTTCGTTGTATAGAAGTTGTTTGACCTTGCTTTCGCAACTTGGTCATATTGGTTTGAAGATTTAGAGGGACGCAACTTGTCCGGACTCCATTCTATGCATCATCATTTCCAGAGTAGCACCGGTGACGACGTACATTCTCAGACGTTTCGCCGGCATCGTAGTTGGTATTGTCAGTGAGTCTCGCCATTCGTAGCACCATATTACAACTCGTCAAAGAGACAGGTGAAGTCCATCCTTTGACCATAGGAAATGTGATTAGCCTATGACAGAAGGGGAGATACCACAACTATTTAGCACACGTTTGGTTTAAGGATGGTCTTCATTTGTCTCTGATGAGTTATAATATGATACTACGAATGGCTAGACTCAGTGACGATGCCGGCGAAACATCTGGGAATGTACTACGTCCACCGTCCTACTCTGGAAATGATGATGCATACAAGGGATTCCGGACTAGGTGCGCTCCTTTAAGTCTTCCTACAAATATGACCAAGTTGCGAAAACAAGGTCAAACAACTTATTTATTAAGATAGGTTTATTGTCCAATAATTTTTTTAAATTCATTCCTTATTGTTATATTTCCTTCTCTAGGTAGTATTACAAATGGTCATTTAAAAAAGAGCGAAGCTCGTTCCACCATGCAGCACTTACTTCATCTACCCTATCATCTACAGCAGCAACATCAACAGCAATTACTACAGATGAGGCAGACCAGTCAGCCTGAAAAAGAGCAGGATCATCGGCCTGGGACGGGTCCAGCGAGAGCCAGTTTGCAGGTCAGCTTTGGCCTTGCCTTCACACGAGGTATGCTCACCGGAGCATTAGCAAAAGCAGCAAGTGGCGCAGAAAAAGTCAAACGCATTTTAAACAAGGTAACATTATTAGGAGTTATATTTTTTTTGTTAAACTTCTATTTTACATTCTCAGTTCTCTCATCAATTGTGCCCATTCTCCAAGTGAGCTTGGGCTGTACGTTAAATTAACATTGACTCTTCCCTCCTCCAATCTCCTTGTTATCATATATCTTTGAAACAGGATTTCCACAGTCTCCTTGATCTTCCGTTTTCTAGTGTTCTTTTTATATAAGGCCAGTCATTCCCTTGCACTCCAGACAATTTTGTGGCCGGCAATGGCCCTGTATTCCATATTAATTCATCTGCATATTG